TATGTCAATTAGCCTATCAGAAGCTTCTAATGCCATGACATCATTTTCTGGAATTTTCCAAGCTGTTTAAAGGCACAGTCAACTTAGCGTATGTAAACTTCTGACCCACTGGAATTGTGACAATTGTCTATAAACAATTGTTGGAAAAATTACTTGTGTCATGCACAAAGTAGATGTCCTAACAGACTTGCCAAAACTATAGTTTGTTAACAAGACATTTGTGGAGTGGTTGAAAAACAAGTTTTAATGACTCCAACCTACGTGTATGTAAACTTCCGACTTCAACTGTAGATTCACATTGATTTGGTACTGGTTCTTCTGTTTATAGCTCCACATTGATATGTTACTCCCTGTATATAGCTCCACATTGATCTGGTACTGGTACTCCCTGTATATAGCTCCACATTGATCTGGTACTGGTACTTCCTGTATATAGCTCCACATTGATCTGGTACTGGTACTTCCTGTATATAGCTCTACATTGATCTGCTACTTCCTGTATATACAGTAGCTCCATAGTAATGTGTTTATTTCTGTATAAAGGTCCATAGTGATCTGGTACTTCCTGTATATACAGTAGCTCCATAGTGATCTGGTACTTCCTGTATATACAGTAGCTCCATAGTGATCTGGTAGCAAGGGCTGATTTCAAGGTTTTACTGTTAACCTATAAAGCGTTACATGGGCTTGCTCCTACCTATCGTTCCGAGTTGGTCCTGCCGTACATACCAATACGTACGCTACGGTCACAAGACGCAGGCCTCCTAATTGTCCCTAGAATTTCGAAGCAAACAGCGGGAGGCAGGGCTTTCTCCTATAGATCTCCATTTTTATGGAACAGTCTGCCTACCCATGTGAGAGACGCAGACTCGGTCTCAACCTTTAAGTCTTTACTGAAGACTTATCTCTTCAGTAGGTCATATGATTGAGTGTAGTCTGGCCCAGGAGTGTGAAGGTGAACGGAAAGGCTGGAGCAACGAACAGCCCTTGCTGTCTTTGCCGGGCCGGTTCCCCTCTCCACTGGGGTTCTCTGCCTCTAACCCTGTTGCAGGGGCTGAGTCACTGGCTTGCTGGTGCTCTTTCATGCCGTCCCTGGGAGGGGTGCGTCACTTGAGTGGGTTGAGTTACTGACGTGATCTTCCTGTCTGGGTTGGCGCCCCCCCCCCCTTGGTTTGTGCTGTGGTGGAGACCTCTGTGGGCTATACTCGGCCTTGTCTCAGGATTGTAAGTTGGTGGTTGGGGATATCCCTCTAGTGGTGCGGGGGCTGTGCTTTGGCGGAGTGGGTGGGGTTATATCCTTCCTGTTTGGCCCTGTCCGGGGGTTTCTTCGGATGGGGCCACAGTGTCTCCGGACCGCTCCTGTCTCAGCCTCCAGTATTTATGCTGCAGTAGTTTATGTGTCGGGGGGCTGGGGTTAGTTGGTTATACCTGGAGTACTTCTCCTGTCTTATCCAGTGTCCTGTGTGAATTTAAGTATGCTCTCTCTAATTCTCTCGTTCTCTCTTTCTCTCTGAGAACCTGAGCCCTAGGACAATACGTCAGGACTACCGGGCATGATGACACCTTGCTGTCCCCAGTCCGCCTGGCCTTGCTGCTATTCCAGTTTCAATTGTTCTGCCTACGGCTACGAAACCCCTACCTGTCCCAGACCTGCTGTTTTCAACTCTTAATGATCGGCTATGAAAAGCCAACTGAGAGACCTGAGCCCTAGGACCATACGTCGGGACTACCGGCCGTGGTGACTCCTTGCTGTCCCCAGTCCGCCTGGCCTTGCTGCTATTCCAGTTTCAACTGTTCTGCCTGCGGTTATGGAACCCCTACCTGTCCCAGACCTGCTGTTTTCAACTCTTAATGATCGGCTATGAAAAGCCAACTGAGATTTATTCCTGATTATTATTTGACCATGCTTGTCACTTATGAACATTTTTGAACATCTTGGCATGGTTCTGTTATAATCTCCACCCGGCACAGCCAGAAGAGGACTGGCCACCCCTCATAGCCTGGTTCCTCTCTAGGTTTCTTCCTAGGTTTTGCCTTTCTAGGGAGTCTTTCCTAGCCACCGTGCTTCTACACCTGCATTACTAGCTGTTTGGGGTTTTAGGCTGGGTTTCTGTACAGCACTTCGAGATATTAGCTGATGTAAGAAGGGCTATATAAAATAAAATTGATTGATTGATTGATTGGTACTTCCTGTATATACAGTAGCTCCATAGTGATCTGCTACTTCCTGTATATACAGTATATCCATAGTGATCTGCTACTTCCTGTATATACAGTAGCTCCATAGTGATCTGCTACTTCCTGTATATACAGTAGCTCCATAGTGATCTGCTACTTCCTGTTTATACAGTAGCTCCATAGTGATCTGCTACTTCCTGTATATACAGTAGCTCCATAGTGATCTGGTACTTCCTGTATATACAGTAGCTCCATAGTGATCTGCTACTTCCTGTATATACAGTAGCTCCATAGTGATCTGGTACTTCCTGTTTATACAGTAGCTCCATAGTGATCTGGTACTTCCTGTTTATACAGTAGCTCCATAGTGATCTGGTACTTCCTGTTTATACAGTAGCTCCATAGTAATGTGTTTATTTCTGTATTAAGTTCCATAGTGATCTGGTACTTCCTGTATATAGAGTAGCTCCATAGTGATCTGGTACTTCCTGTATATACAGTAGCTCCATAGTGATCTGGTACTTCCTGTATATACAGTAGCTCCATAGTGATCTGCTACTTCCTGTATATACAGTAGATCCATAGTAATGTGTTTATTTCTGTATAAAGGTCCATAGTGATCTGCTACTTCCTGTATATAGAGTAGCTCCATAGTGATCTGGTACTTCCTGTATATACAGTAGCTCCATAGTGATCTGGTACTTCCTGTTTATACAGTAGCTCCATAGTGATCTGCTACTTCCTGTATATACAGTAGCTCCATAGTGATCTGCTACTTCCTGTATATACAGTAGCTCCATAGTAATGTGTTTATTTCTGTATAAAGGTCCATAGTGATCTGCTACTTCCTGTTTATACAGTAACTCCATAGTGATCTGGTACTTCCTGTATATACAGTAGCTCCATAGTAATGTGTTTATTTCTGTATAAAGGTCCATAGTGATCTGCTACTTCCTGTATATAGAGTAGCTCCATAGTGATCTGGTACTTCCTGTATATAGAGTAGGTCCATAGTGATCTGCTTCTTCCTGTATATACAGTAGCTCCATAGTGATCTGCTACTTCCTGTATATACAGTAACTGCATAGTGATCTGGTACTTCCTGTTTATACAGTAGCTCCATAGTGATCTGCTACTTCCTGTATATACAGTAGCTCCATAGTGATCTGGTACTTCCTGTATATACAGTAGCTCCATAGTGATCTGGTACTTCCTGTTTATACAGTAGCTCCATAGTAATGTGTTTATTTCTGTATAAAGGTCCATAGTGATCTGCTACTTCCTGTTTATACAGTAACTCCATAGTGATCTGGTACTTCCTGTATATACAGTAGCTCCATAGTAATGTGTTTATTTCTGTATAAAGGTCCATAGTGATCTGCTACTTCCTGTTTATACAGTAACTGCATAGTGATCTGGTACTTCCTGTATATACAGTAGCTCCATAGTGATCTGCTACTTCCTGTATATAGAGTAGCTCCATAGTGATCTGGTACTTCCTGTATATACAGTAGCTCCATAGTGATCTGCTACTTCCTGTTTATACAGTAGCTCCATAGTGATCTGCTACTTCCTGTATATACAGTAGCTCCATAGTAATGTGTTTATTTCTGTATAAAGGTCCATAGTGATCTGCTACTTCCTGTTTATACAGTAACTCCATAGTGATCTGGTACTTCCTGTTTATACAGTAGCTCCATAGTGATCTGCTACTTCCTGTTTATACAGTAGCTCCATAGTGATCTGCTACTTCCTGTTTATACAGTAGCTCCATAGTGATCTGCTACTTCCTGTTTATAACAGTAAACTCCATAGTGATCTGGTACTGTCCTGTTTATACAGTAGCTCCATAGTGATCTGCTACTTCCTGTTTATACAGTAGCTCCATAGTGATCTGCTACTTCCTGTTTATACAGTAGCTCCATAGTGATCTGCTACTTCCTGTTTATACAGTAGCTCCATAGTGATCTGCTACTTCCTGTATATACAGTAGCTCCATAGTGATCTGCTACTTCCTGTATATACAGTAGATCCATAGTGATCTGGTACTTCCTGTATATACAGTAGCTCCATAGTAATGTGTTTATTTCTGTATAAAGGTCCATAGTGATCTGGTACTTCCTGTTTATACAGTAGCTCCATAGTGATCTGGTACTTCCTGTTTATACAGTAGCTCCATAGTGATCTGGTACTTCCTGTTTATACAGTAGATCCATAGTGATCTGCTACTTCCTGTATATACATTAGCTCCATAGTGATCTGCTACTTCCTGTATATACAGTAGCTCCATAGTGATCTGCTACTTCCTGTATATACAGTAGCTCCATAGTGACCTGCTACTTCCTGTATATACAGTAGCTCCATAGTGATCTGCTACTTCCTGTATATACAGTAGATCCATAGTGATCTGGTACTTCCTGTATATACAGTAGCTCCATAGTGACCTGCTACTTCCTGTATATACAGTAGATCCATAGTGATCTGGTACTTCCTGTATATACAGTAGCTCCATAGTGATCTGCTACTTCCTGTACTGTAAATAACTCCATTCTTGTGTATTTTATTCATCTTGTTTTACTATTTGTCTTTTTATTGTTATTTTTTAACTCTGCGTCATTGGGAAGGGCTCGTAAGCAAGCATTTCACGGTAAAGTCTACACCTGTTGTAGTTGGTTGATGTGACAAATACAATTTGATTAGATTTGAGAAAGAGAGAGAGAGAGCACCATTCATTGAAGCTGCACAAGGCTGGCTCTTCTTCCCCACCTCCCAGCAGATACGTATTCAGTCCCTCTCCTCCCTCCTTCCCTCTCTTTCTGCAGCTGCGGTCTACCGGGTGTCAGCGTCACACAGTGTGTGCAGGAGCAGGAGCAGGAGAAAACAAGGACAAGAAACCAAAGGAGAGGACGGACCAGACCATACTGAGGACAGAGGAGACAGAAGAGCTACCAGTCCTTATGCTCCTGTTGTAACATCCTGACAGGAGGAGAGAGAGCTGCACCGCGACTACCTGGGGGCAGAGAGACTCATTGAGAGACAGCTGAGAGACACACACACACACAGAACACACACACACAGAACACACACACACAGAACACACACACACAGAACACACACAGAACACACACAGAACACACACACACAGAACACACACACCGGCCGTGGATCGGAGGAGGAGGAGGAGGAGGGGGAGGAGGAGGAAGACACTCGCTGCATTCAAAGGATTCCCTACAACCCACCACACACACAGACAGAGACACACAGACAGAGACACACAGACAGACACACACACAGAAACACACACACACACAAACACACACACAAAGACACACACACACAGAGAGAGACACACAAAGACACACACACACACAGAGACACACACACACACACAGAGAGACACACACACACAGAGACACACACACAGAGAGACACACACACAGAGACACACACACAATCTGATTAGCTTTTCGAGGGGAGAACTATATTTTTTAGAGGATGTTTTTCACCAGGAATAACTTTTATTTTGATGTGGTCGTGAGTGGAGCTTCAAACAACTATTTGCTTCTGCACAAGGAGAATATCCCCTCTTTTCATGGGTTGTATAAACTGAAAATGGTCTTTGACCATTAAGACAACGTCTCTGATTCCGTCTGACTGCTGTGTGGATCATCACTGGGATATTTTGGGATTTCTCTCCAGCTTAAAGACATATCCATGACTGTTGGATTATTAACATGAGAGAGAAGCAGCTCTCTGGTCTCTGATGGATTAAAGCTGGGCTCTAAGGGCTCTGAACCTATAACCACTAGGCTCCTAACCTCTTCTCTGGATCTCAACACTGGGCTCTGAACTGACCAGCATCCACACTGGGCTCTGAGGGCTCTGAACCTACAGCCTCACCACCAGTGGGCTCTGAATCTGAATAGCCCCATGGATGGTAGCTATCAGCATAATTGAGCACTAAGACAGATACAAGTAAGTAGACAAGTAGCCTCTCTGTCTCTCTCTCTCTGTGTCTCTCTCTCTCTCTCTCTCTCTCTGCAATGTTAATTAAAATAAGCCTTTGGTATTATAATTAAATCCAACAACGGGAGAAACTGTTTATCTATTGTGAATATGTGGAGAGGATATTATAGGATATTAGAGTAAAGTAACTCAGTTTGATCATATTGCCGATGGTGAGGCATGTTGAGTGTTTAGAGACCTCTTGCCAAGCAACACAATTTACTAACTCAGGGTCACTGTGTGTCTGTCTGTAGGTGTCTCTGGCTTCAGCCTCTCTCCCAGGATTGATTGATATGTGGAAATCATGTTAGCAACCTGGATGTTGACCAAGAGAGGGGGAGCACCACACTTTAACAGTAACAGCCAACACAGGGGAGGGAGCACCACTCTCTAACAGTAACAGCCAACACAGGGGAGGGAGCACCACTCTCTAACAGTAACAGACAACACAGGGGAGGGAGCACCACTCTCTAACAGTAACAGCCAACACAGTGGAGGGAGCACCACTCTCTAACAGTAACAGCCAACACAGGGGAGGGAGCACCACTCTCTAACAGTACCAGACAACACAGGGGAGGGAGCACCACTCTCTAACAGTAACAGCCAACACAGGGGAGGGAGCACCACTCTCTAACAGTAACAGCCAACACAGGGGAGGGAGCACCACTCTCTAACAGTAACAGCCAACACAGGGGAGGGAGCACCACTCTCTAACAGTAACAGCCAACACAGGGGAGGGAGCACCACTCTCTAACAGTAACAGCCAACACAGGGGAGGGAGCACCACTCTCTAACAGTAACAGCCAACACAGGGGAGGGATCACCACTCTCTAACAGTAACAGACAACACAGGGGAGGGAGCACCACTCTCTAACAGTAACAGACAACACAGGGGAGGGAGCACCACTCTCTAACAGTAACAGCCAACACAGGGGAGGGAGCACCACTCTCTAACAGTAACAGCCAACACAGGGGAGGGAGCACCACTCTCTAACAGTAACAGCCAACACAGGGGAGGGAGCACCACTCTCTAACAGTAACAGCCAACACAGGGGAGGGAGCACCACTCTCTAACAGTAACAGCCAACACAGGGGAGGGAGCACCACTTTCTAAAAGTAACAGCCAACACAGGGGAGGGAGCACCACTATCTAACAGTAACAGCCAACACAGGGGAGGGAGCACCACTCTAATAGTAACAGCCAACACAGGGGAGGGAGTAACACTCTCTAACAGTAACAGCCAACACAGGGGAGGGAGCACCACTCTCTAACAGTAACAGACAACACAGGGGAGGGAGTAACACTCTCTAAGAGTAATATCCAACAGAGGGGAGGGAGTAAACCTCTCTAAGAGTAACAGCCAACAGAGGGGAGGGAGTAAACCTCTCTAAGAGTAACAGCCAACAGAGGGGAGGGAGTAAACCTCTCTAACAGTAACAGCCAGGAGAGGAGTGATGGGGGAGAATATCATTCTGACAGCCAACACTACACACTACTCTCAGCCATGGAGAGAAGCACTACTGTCTAAACTGCCTCCATACTGGGAGACTAAGGATCTTTGGTGACTCCTTCCCCCACAACCTCCCCAAGAGGAGAGCTATGCAGCACTACTGTCAATAGCCCAGCCATCAGGCATCGTGAGAAACACTACAGTCTACTGAGGACCCGCCGTACCCCTCCTCCACAAACCTCCCTCCTCCCTCCCTAGCTCCTCCACAAATCTCCTCCTACCTCCTCCCTTCCTCCTCCCTCTTTCTCTCCTCCCTCCTCCCTCTCTCTCTCCTCTCTCCTCCCTCTCTCTCTCCTCCCTCTCTCTCTCCTCCCTCCCTCCTCCCTCCTCCCTCCCTAGCTCCTCCACAAATCTCCTCCTACCTCCTCCCTTCCTCCTCCCTCTCTCTCTCCTCCCTCCTCCCTCTCTCTCTCCTCCCTCCTCCCTCTCTCTCTCCCTCCCTCCTCCCTCTCTCTCTCCTCTCTCCTCTCTCTCTCTCTCCTCCCTCTCTCTCTCCTCCCTCCCTCCTCCCTCCTCCCTCCTCCCTCCCTCCTCCCTCCCTAGCTCCTCCACAAATCTCCTCCTACCTCCTCCCTTCCTCCTCCCTCTCTCTCTCCTCCCTCCTCCCTCTCTCTCTCCTCCCTCTCTCTCTCCTCCCTCCTCCCTCTCTCTCTCCTCCCTCCTCCCTCCTCCCTCTCTCTCTCCTTCCTCCTCCCTCTCTCTCTCCTCCCTCCTCCCTCTCTCTCTCCTCCCTCCTCCCTCCTCCCTCTCTCTCTCCTCCTCCTCCTCCCTCCCTCCCTCCTCCCTCCTCCCTCCTCCCTCCCTAGCTCCTCCACAAATCTCCTCCTACCTCCTCCCTTCCTCCTCCCTCTCTCTCTCCTCTCTCCTCCCTCCTCCCTCCTCCCTCTCTCTCTCCTCCCTCCTCCCTCCTCCCTCCTCTCTCTCCTCCCTCCTACCTCCTCCCTTCCTCCTCCCTCTCTCTCTCCTCTCTCCTCCCTCCTCCCTCTCTCTCTCCTCCCTCCTCCCTCTCTCCTCCCTACCTCCTCCACACATCTCCTCCCTCCCTCCTCCCTAGCTCCTCCACAAATCTCCTCCTACCTCCTCCCTTCCTCCTCCCTCCCTCACCCTCCGTCCCTCCCTCCCTCCACTAACCTCCCCCTATTCCCTCCCTCCCCCCGTGAAAACCCCAGCCATGGAGTGGAGAATTACAGTCTACTGTAACAGTCCCGTCTAACTTGCCTTTATTTAGCTGAGGACCACACTACACCCTCCCCAAAAGACCTCCTCCTGCCTCAGTCAGGATGGTGCCCCCCCCTCCCACCAACCAGCCCCCTGTCTGCCTGTCCACCCTGCTGATTATGAGCAGTATGGCCCTGATCGATGCCTATCTGGTGGAACAGAACCACGGGCCCAGGAAGATCGGTATTATTATTATTATTATTATTATTATTAATATTGATAAACCTTTATTCAGTCAGTGAAGTCCCATTAAGATCGATGTCTCTTTTACAAGTGTGCCGTGTTTACAAATGAAAAAATAATACATAGGACATAATAAGGAATTATTAACACAATTCAGGAGCATGGGAATTTTACAAAAATAAAATTCTAACAACCATAGTGTAGGAGCTGGAGAATTACAAAACATATAATGATAAATAGATTTGAAACTTGTATCTCATTATGGTATGTGGTGAAATAAGTATAGCCAGTTATAATTGTAATGGCTTAGCAGATAATAACAAAAGAAGAACAATATTTACATGGCTCCAAGAGAAGGAATATAATATCTATTGTTTACAGGAAAGTCATTCAACAATTCTAGATGAAGTTGCGTGGAAAAAGGAATGGGGGGGGTATACTTCTCCCATAGGCAAAGAAACTCAAAAGGGGTGATGATATTAATTAACAGTAATTTTGATCCGAATGTGCAAATTGTCCAAACAGATCCGCAAGGTAGATGGATTATTTTAAATATGTTATTGGACCATAAACAGATATGGCCCATTAACCTTTATGGACCAAATAATGATGATCCACACTTCTTTGACAATATATATAATAAATTATCAACCCTACAAGCAATTCAAAACTCTATTATTATGGTGGGAGATTATAATACTGTTTTAAATAGCTCAATGGACCGTAAAGGAAATCACACTACAAACTATCACCCTCATGCTCTTAAGGAAATCGTGAATGTCATGGATACATTAGAAATAGTAGATATATGGAGGCTTAAATATCCTGATCTAGTGAGATATACATGGCGGAGACTCAATCAAGCTAGTCATCTTGACTTCTTTCTTACAGTGGGGAGAACAAGTATTTGATACACTGCCGATTTTGCAGGTTTTCTTACTTACAAAGCATGTAGAGGTCTGTAATTTTTTATCATAGGTACACTTCAACTGTGAGAGACGGAATCTAAAACAAAAATCCAGAAAATCACATTGTATGATTTTTAAGTAATTAATTTGCATTTTATTGCATGACATAAGTATTTGATACGTCAGAAAAGCAGAACTTAATATTTGGTACAGAAACCTTTGTTTGCAATTACAGCGATCATACGTTTCCTGTAGGTCTTGATCAGGTTTGCACACACTGCAGCAGGGATTTTGGCCCACTCCTCCATACAGACCTTCTCCAGATCCTTCAGGTTTCGGGGCTGTCGCTGGGCAATACGGACTTTCAGCTCCCTCCAAAGATTTTCTATTGGGTTCAGGTCTGGAGACTGGCTAGTCCACTCCAGGACCTTGAGATGCTTCTTACGGAGCCACTCCTTAGTTGCCCTGGCTGTGTGTTTCGGGTCGTTGTCATGCTGGAAGACCCAGCCACGACCCATCTTCAATGCTCTTACTGAGGGAAGGAGGTTGTTGGCCAAGATCTCGCGATACATGGCCCCATCCATCCTCCCCTCAATACGGTGCAGTCGTCCTGTCCCCTTTGCAGAAAAGCATCCCCAAATAATTATGTTTCCACCTCCATGCTTCATGGTTGGGATGGTGTTCTTGGGGTTGTACTCATCCTTCTTCTTCCTCGAAACACGGCGAGTGGAGTTTAGACCAAAAAGCTATATTTTTGTCTCATCAGACCACATGACCTTCTCCCATTCCTCTTCTGGATCATCCAGATAGTCATTGGCAAACTTCAGACGGGCCTGGACATGCGCTGGCTTGAGCAGGGGGACCTTTCGTGCGCTGCAGGATTTTAATAAATGACGGCGTAGTGTGTTACTAATGGTTGTCTTTGAGACTGTGGTCCCAGCTCTCTTCAGGTCATTGACCAGGTCCTGCCGTGTAGTTCTGGGCAGATCCCTCACCTTCCTCATGATCATTGATGCCCCACGAGGTGAGATCTTGCATGGAGCCCCAGACCGAGGGTGATTGACCGTCATCTTGAACTTCTTCCATTTTCTAATAATTGCGCCAACAGTTGTTGCCTTCTCACCAAGCTGCTTGCCTATTGTCCTGTAGCCCATCCCAGCCTTGTGCAGGTCTACAATTTTATCCCTTACACAGCTCTCTGGTCTTGGCCATTGTAGAGAGGTTGGAGTCTGTTTGATTGAGTGTGTGGACAGGTGTCTTTTATACAGGTAACGAGTTCAAACAGGTGCAGTTAATACAGGTAATGAGTGATCAAATACTGATCAAATACTTATGTCATGCAATAAAATGCAAATTAATTACTTAAAAATCATACAATGTGATTGTCTGGATTTTTGTTTTAGATTCCGTCTCTCACAGTTGAAGTGTACCTATGATAAAAATTACAGACCTCTACATGCTTTGTAAGTAGGAAAACCTGCAAAATCGGCAGTGTATCAAATACTTGTTCTCCCCACTGTATGTCATTCTCGTTGGCACCAAAAGTTTAAAAAGTGTTGATAGGGAACAGAATGCAGTCAGACCATCATATAATTGGCATATACATTACTCTACCCTGAATTTCCACGTGGGCGAGGATATTGGAAATGTAATCAAAGCCAATTGGATGATATATGCAATAAAATGCAAATTATTTACTTAAAAATCATACAATGTGATCATACAGACCTCTACATGCTTTGTAAGTAGGAAAACCTGCAAAATTGGCAGTGTATCAAATACTTGTTCTCCCCACTGTATATGCGAGAGAAAAAACATATGGGGGAAGTGATGCGGACAATTACATTGATGGAAGTTACAATCTATCTGCAATATTAAAGATAATCTACACCCCCAAAAAAACAGTGCAGGAGCATGATAATTAGAACAATACTATTATATAAACCATAGTGCAGGAACATTGGAATTACAAACATGCAAATCTAAAACAACTATTATTAATAATAATAATAACAAATTTTTCTGACGAACAGGTATCTGTATCATGGTGATGGTAGGTGACCTCTGCTTCCTCATCGTGTTGCGGTACGTGGCGCTCTGGGTTGGGGCCGAGGTGCGAACCGCCAAGCGAGGCTACGCCATGATACTCTGGTTCCTCTATATCTTTGTCCTGGAGATCAAGGTATTTGCATTTTCATTTTGTTGTGTTGTTGTCATTTTGTTGTTTCATTTTTTAAATGTTGTTCTATTATAAAAAAATATATAAACTAAGGTCGATGTCCGCGCCCCCGCAGAAATGAAATTAGCATAATAAAAACATCCCTATCAAAATCTGTCAGTTTAAACTAGATAGCTATTATTTTGCATTTGATGCGTCTCAATCCACCGCATCCGCCTATGTCGCACTTCCACATCTGCGGTGAAAGGTGACAGAGCTAGAGCGGTGTTTGTCAGACCATGAGACATCCCGAAAACCGGTTTTCTCACGAAATCATCTGTAAAGTCCAAACGGTTTGGCCTACAAACTATTATGACCCCTCACTACCTGGGGTTTATTATGGATCCCCATTACTTCCTGCCAAGGCAGCAGCTACTCTTCCTGGGGTTTATTATGGATCCCCATTAGTTCCTGCCAAGGCAGCAGTGTCACGAACGTCAAGGTAAGGAGTAGACCAAGGCGCAGCGTTGCAAGCAAACATCTTCTTTAATAAATGAAACACGATCAAAACAAACAAAGGCGATAACGTGACAGTACACGGTGAAACTAAACTACCTCGAAACAAGAACCCACAAACACAAAGTGAAAACAGAGTTTAAATATGGCTCCCAATCAGAGACAACCAGCGAACAGCTGACACTCGTTGCCTCTGATTGGGAGTCAATTAAGCCAACCCAGAAAACAACAACCTAGAACACCCAACATAGAAATAACCCACACAGAACGAACACACTCTGGCTCAACATAAAGAGTCCCGGAGCCAGAGCGTGACAGTACCCCACCCTAAAGGCGCAGACTGCGACCGCGCCTCAAAATAGCAAAACAGGGGAGGGCTGGGTGGGCATACCTCCACGGCGGCGGTTCCGGCTCCGGGCTTGACCAAAACCCTACAACAAACCCCCCATAGCGCCCCTGGTCCGGTCTGGCCCTGCTGGCTGGAGCTGGACTGGACGTAGCAGGAGCGGTAGGCTTCAGCTCCTTAGTGGAGCAGTTGAGCGGTACCTGAATTGGCACCGAATACTCAGGCACGGGTTGTGCCGGACTGACGACTCGCTCCCCTGGCTTGGTGCGAGTAGCAGGAACGGGCTGGACCAGGCTGACGACGCGCACCCCTGGCTTGGCGCGTGAGGCAGGAACGGACCGGACCTGGCTGACGATGCGCCCCCTTGGCTTGGTGCGTGGAGCAGCGACGGGCCGGACCTGGCTGACGACTCGCACCCCGGGCTTGGTGCGAGTAGCAGGAACGGGCTGAACCAGGCTGACGACTCGTACCCCTGGCTTGGTGCGAGTAGCAGGAACTGGCCGGGCCGAGCTGGCGACGCACACCGTAGGCTTTGTGCGTGGAGCAGGGACAGGCCGGGCTGGGCTGGCGACGCACATCGTAGGCTTTGTGCGTGGAGCAGGGACAGGCCGGGCTGGGCTGGCGACGCACACCGTAGGCTTTGTGCGTGGAGCAGGGACAGGCCGGGCTGGGCTGGCGACGCACACCGTAGGCTTTGTGCGTGGAGCAGGGACAGGCCGGGCTGGGCTGGCGACGCACACCGTAGGCTTTGTGCGTGGAGCAGGGACAGGCCGGGCTGGGCTGGCGACGCACACCGTAGGCTTTGTGCGTGGAGCAGGGACAGGCCGGGCTGGGCTGGCGACGCACACCACTGACTTGGTGGGAATGGCAGGAACAGGCCGGGCTGGGCTGACGACGCGCACCACTGACTTGGTGGGAATGGCAGGAACAGGCCGGGCTGGGCTGACGACGCGCACCACTGCCTTGGTGGGAATGGCAGGAACAGGCCGGACCGTACTGGGGACACACACCACTGGCCCCACGCAGGGATCAGGAACGGGCCGGACCGGACTGGTAACACACCCCAGTACCTCTCGCCGTGCCTCCACACTTTCCCTCTCCTCTGTGCCCAGTGGCCCCCCTAACCTGGCGGCCTTCTCTGCCAACGCTTTGCACCGCTCTAACCCGTACACCTGCTGCCCCGACGTCGTGAGCCCCCCCCTAAAAATGTCCTGGGGGTCTCTCCTCCCCGTGGCCAAGGCCTCTCTCCCTCTTGCCAAACTCGCAATCATCTCCTCCCACGTCCATCCTCTCTCCTCGTCACGCTGCTTGATCCAGTCGAGGTTGCCACGGAGATCTGCCAGCGATGGCTCCTGAACACGCTGCTTGGTCTGGTTAAGGTGGGTTCTTCTGTCACGAACGTCAAGGTAAGGAGTAGACCAAGGCGCAGCGTTGCAAGCAAACATCTTCTTTAATAAATGAAACACGATCAAAACAAACAAAGGCGATAACGTGACAGTACACGGTGAAACTAAACTACCTCGAAACAAGAACCCACAAACACAAAGTGAAAACAGAGTTTAAATATGGCTCCCAATCAGAGACAACCAGCGAACAGCTGACACTCGTTGCCTCTGATTGGGAGTCAATTAAGCCAACCCAGAAAACAACAACCTAGAACACCCAACATAGAAATAACCCACACAGAACGAACACACTCTGGCTCAACATAAAGAGTCCCGGAGCCAGAGCGTGACAAGCAGCTACTCTTCCTGGGGTTTATTATGGATCCCCATTAGTTCCTGCCAAGGCAGCAGCTACTCTTCCTGGGGTTTATTATGGATCCCCATTAGTTCCTGCCAAGGCAGCAGCTACTCTTCCTGGGGTTTATTATGGATCCCCATTAGTTCCTGCCAAGGCAGCAGCTACTCTTCCTGGGGTTTATTATGGATCCCCATTAGTTCCTGCCAAGGCAGTAGCTACTCTTCCTGGGGTTTATTATGGATCCCCATTAGTTCATGCCAAGGCAGCAGCTACTCTTCCTGGGGTTTATTATGGATCCCCATTAGTTCCTGCCAAGGCAGCAGCTACTCTTCCTGGGGTTTATTATGGATCCCCATTAGTTCCTGCCAAGGCAGCAGCTACTCTTCCTGGGGTTTATTATGGATCCCCATTAGTTCCTGCCAAGGCAGCAGCTACTCTTCCTGGGGTTTATTATGGATCCCCATTAGTTCCTGCCAAGGCAGCAGCTACTCTTCCTGGGGTTTATTATGGATCCCCATTAGTTCCTGCCAAGGCAGCAGCTACTCTTCCTGGGGTTTATTATGGATCCCCATTAGTTCCTGCCAAGGCAGCAGCTACTCTTCCTGGGGTTTATTATGGATCCCCATTAGTTCCTGCCAAGGCAGCAGCTACTCTTCCTGGGGTTTATTATGGATCCCCATTAGTTCCTGCCAAGGCAGCAGCTACTCTTCCTGGGGTTTATTATGGATCCCCATTAGTTCCTGCCAAGGCAGCAGCTACTCTTCCTGGGGTTTATTATGGATCCCCATTAGTTCCTGCCAAGGCAGCAGCTACTCTTCCTGGGGTTTATTATGGATCCCCATTAGTTCCTGCCAAGGCAGCAGCTACTTTTCCTGGGGTTTATTATGGATCCCCATTAGTTCCTGCTAAGGCAGCAGCTACTCTTCCTGGGGTCCAGCAACATAAGACAGTTACATACAGTTTAAAATACTACATGACATTACATTTCATAACACCTATGGAAAGATGAGACTCTAACGAATACAATGGTGTACTCCCACAAGAGTCTTGGAACTTGTCTGAAGTCGGTACAGCCAATCTGCCAACTTCTGTCTAATATGTCCCCTCTGTGCAAAGGTGAGACTCACAAAACACGTACATATCGGATGTTTTGCTCTAGGACACCCACAGGCCTCACAAGACTTGTCTGAAGGTACCCTGGTACCAGTTGAAAAATAATAAAATGAATGGAAGTATACAGTATATGAAGACTGTTTAGTGCCAGAATCTCTTAGATATGACAGTCACTTCAGAACAAACTTCCTTTAGATAATGTTTGGGGGACTATCTGTCATTCCATGTAGTGAATCTGTTATTCATTGTGTTTATATGGGCTAATAGCAGTAAGGCCAAAAATACATGTATTTATAATTTTGGGGGGGATACTTCAAGGGGTCTTAAAATTCTAAATCAAAGTGATCCTTGGTATGACCTTCTTAAAACAATTCCATATAGCTTAGTAGAACAACCCTCACTGGCTTAGAGTCTTATGGGTTAATGATGTGTGACCCTTGTGAAATGCGTCTGCATGTAACGTATAAGCAGGGAGTCAGGAAGCAGGTGTAGAAGGTGAGTTTAATAATAATAAACATGAAGAAAATACAAAACGTAACCAAAACCAATACTGCCTGATGACAGAGGCTACTGAGGGCTATATGAAGGGAGAATAATCAGGGTGGTGATGAAGTCCAGGTGTGCGCAATGATGGTTGCCAGGTGTGTGCAATGATGGTTGCCAGGTTTGTGCAATGTTGGTTGCCAGGACCGGTGGTTAGCAGACCGGTGACGTCGAGTGCCGGAGGGAGGGAGCAGGAATGACAGTACCCCCCCACCCCCGATGCTGGGTTCCAGCCGCTTGGCGACGCTGGCCAGGAGGACGGCCCCGAGGGCGAGGAGCGGTCTGGACGGCAGAGATGGAAAATAGATTATGTCCGCCAAGAGCGCTTCTCAGGACCGTACCCCTCCCAGTCCACCAGGTACTGGAGCCGACCCCCACGACATCAGGAGTCCAGGAGGGACCAAACAGCACAGGCGGGGGTCCCCTCGATGTCCAGGGGAGGCAGAGGGGTGTCGTGGGGGACGGCATCAGCCAGGGGACCAGGAACACCCAGCCTGAGGAGGGAAACGTGAAAGGAGGGTGAGAGTTGGCAGTTAGTGGGGAGTTGTAATCTGTAGGTTACCTCATTGACCCTCCGGAGGACTTTGAAGGGCCCCACAAACCGGGGGCGCAGCTTCCTACAGGGCAGACGGAGCGGGAGGTTCCTGGTGGGGAGCCAGAAGCGAGCACCAGGATGAAACATGGGAGCCTCACTTTGGTGGCGGTGAGGCGCTTCACGTGGGCATCGTTCCAAACCTCCTCTATGCGCATGAACCACTCATCCACCGCAGGAGCTTCAGTCTGGCTCGGGGTCCACGGAGCCAGGGCTGGCTGATATCCCAGAACACACTGGAAGGGGGTCTGCCCGGTACCGCTTCTCCATACCCATGATGTGAATTGGGGGCCACGGTCGGAGACGATGTCCTCCGGAAGGCCATAGTGTCGGAAGACCTGCTGGAACAGTGCCTCAGCGACCTGGAGAGCGGTAGGGAGACCAGAGAGAGGGATAAAACTGCAGGATTTAGAGAATCTGTCCACAACAACTATAATAGTAGTGAAACCACAAGAGGGGAGATCAATGACGAAATTAATGGTCAGATGAGACCAAGGCCGCTGAGGCACGGGAAGGGGAAGGAGCTTCCCTGCTGGAGCGTGCCGGGGAGATTTAGTTTGGGCACATACAGAGCAGGAGTTGACATAGCGAGCGAAGTCATGTGCCAAGGTGGGCCACCAGTACTTTCTAGAGATAGATTGAATAGTGCGGGTGATACCTGGGTGTCCAGCAACGAGAGATGCACCCAGGTCAAGAGCCGATCCCTTACCTCCATCGGAACGTAGCTGCGCACCAGAGGGCAGGTAGCAGACGTGGTTCCCTCTCCAGAGCCTGGCGGATCTCCGTGTCTACATCCCAAAGCATGGGGGCAATGATTCGGGAGGGCAGTATGATGGGCGCATTCAGGACAGGAACCTCTCCTGAATCGTGGAGACGGGACAGGGCATCGGCTTTGCTTCTAGTGCCAACGTCACCGCCAGAAGCTCCCGGTCGCCGACGTCATATTTCCTCTCTGCAGGAGACAGTTGTTTTGAGTAGTATGCACATGAATACAATTTTTGTGGATTACCTTGACGCTGTGACAGGACGGCTCCCACGCCCACTTCTGAGGCGTCCATCTCCACCACGCAGGACAGCGTAGGTTCTGGGTGTTTTTTGCAATGGGGCGGAGGTGAAACACCCCTTCAGTAGGCAGAAGGCCTCGTCGGCTGCAGGACTCCACACTAACCCTTTGAGGAGAGAGGAGAGGTGATGGAGCTGAAGTTAATGAAGCAGTGGTAGAAGTTGGCAAACCCCAAAACTGTTGTAGTCCCTTTATGGTGCTAGGGACTGGCCATGAACTGACTGCCTCAACCTTCCTCTCCTCCATAACCACTCCCTGTGGGCTGATCCGATATCCCAAAAAGGAGACAGCGGCCTGATGGAACTGGCACGTCTCTGCTTTGACGTACCGGTGGTTCTCCAGGAGGCGTCCCAGGACTACCCGGACGTGGGCGACGTGATCCTCCAAGGTGGCCAAGTAGATCAGGACGTCATGGATATACATGACCACCTAACGCCCAAGCATGTCCCAGAACACCTCGTTCACGAATGCCTGGAACACCGACGGAGCAACCACAGGACTCTCAACCAGCGTGGAACCACAGGGTAAGGGAAAGCAGGTCTTCCGACATCCGGGTGCCCAGATAGTGATCTCCATCCTCGACCAGGAGATGATGGGGCCATGACGTTGGAGCCAGAGGAGGCCGAGGATGACTTTATGTACAGTGCCTCGGTGATGAGGAATGGAAGGCTTTCTTGGTGCAGGGGTCCCATGGTGATGTTGAATGGTGCTGTGATGAAATTACCCGCAGCACCAGAGTCCACTAGAGCAGTAGAGACAACGCGAGGGACAGCCAGCCAGTGAAATGTAACAAGGAAGGGTTTGGCAGAAAGCAATGATGATGGAATACTCACGCCTACCCTGGGAGATGGATGATCACAGGGCCGTCCTTCTGTCCCTTTGGACCCTGGGTTGGAACGCACCGGACACCGCTGGAGCTGGTGCCCCTCCTGGCCGCAATAGGGAACACAGCCCCAGCCGTCTCCGGCGACGCCGCTCTGCTGCGGGGAGGTGTGGCCCTTACCTCCATGGATTCAGGCTCTGTTTCAGGATGGCAAAAAGAGGAAGGTGAGAGACGAGGAGGGTTGCCGGCGCTCTCGAAGAAGGTTATCCAGATGGATCAGACAGATGGCCATCGCTAGCGCATCCAAGGAAAGGTTGTCGTCCCGACACGCCAACTCCGTCTGGACCTCTAAGCGCAGTCCTATTCTGAATAAGGTGCGGAGTGCCGGCTCATTCCATCCGCTGGAGGCTGCCACAGTCTGCAGCAGTCTGGGCACTCTGCCGAAGTTGGAGTAGTCGCTCACATCCCTCTCTGCCCTCAGGTGGATGATCGAAGACCGCCATGAACCTCTCATTGGAACCCAGCTCCTCCTCTCCTCTCTCCCAGACGGCTGTAGCCCACTCCAACGCCCATCCAGTCAGCAGGGAAATGACCGTGGCAACCTTGGACCTCTCGGTGGTGGGGGCTCCTGTCTGATGGGCGAAATAGAGAGAGCACTGGAGTAGGAAGCCACGGAATTTGGATGGAGTACAGTCATATTTGTCTGGGAGGGACAATAGGGCATCGCTGACCTGGGCGGACTGCTGGATGGGCTGGTGGACTGGCTCGCTGGGACGAATCGTGGTAGAGGGTCCTCCGCTAGTTGGAGATGAATCCCCTCAGGCGAACGTGGAGGACCTCATCCATTACCGTACCCAGCTGGTCATGGTGTTGACACAGTAGGTGTTCCTGTTCGGGAGATATCCTTAACGTCTGCTGCTTCCATATTTCTGAGAGGCAGTATTCTGTAACGTATACACAGGGTGTCAGGAAGCAGGTGCAGAAGGTGAGTTTAATAATAAACATGAAGAAAATACAAAACAGGGGAAGCGTACCGAACGTAACCAAAAACAATACTGTCTAATGACAGAGGATACTGAGGGCTATATGAAGGGAGAGTAATCAGGGTGGTGATGAAGTCCAGGTGTGTGTAACGATGGGGAGCAGGTGTGCGCAATGATGGTTGCTAGGTGTGCGCAATGTGTGTTTCCAGGACCGGTGGTTAGTAGACCAGCGACGTCGAACGCTGGAGGGAAGGAGCAGAAGTAGGCGTGACACTGCACTGCTTGCTCTTTGGGGTTTTAGGCTGGGTATCTGTAAATCACTTTATGACAACTGCTGATGTAAAAAGGGCTGTATAAAATAAATGTGATTGATTTACTTTTTTGTTGTTCTCCAGGTGTACTTTGTGTACCAGAACTACAAGGCTGACAGAAGGTCTCTGGATGCTCTGGCCCGTAAGGCCCTGACCGTCCTCCTCTCGGTCTGTGTCCCAGTGCTGTTTATAGGTCTAGTGGCAGTAGACGACATGGAGTACGTACGGCCGTCCAAGAAGAAAGAGGAGCTCCGTAACAGGTACTGTTCCTGACCCGTTCTAACAGGTACTGTTCCTGACCCATTCTAACAGGTACTGCTCCAGACCCATTCTAACAGGTACTGTTCCTGACCCGTTCTAACAGGTACTGTTCCTGACCCATTCTAACAGGTAGAACTGTTCCTGACCCATTCTAACAGGTACTGTTCCTGAACCCGTTCTAACAGGTACTGTTCCTGACCCATTCTAACAGGTACTGTTCCTGACCCATTCTAACAGGTAGAACTGTTCCTGACCCATTCTAACAGGTAGAACTGTTCCAGACCCATTCTAACAGGTACTGTTCCAGACCCATTCTAACAGGTACTGTTCCTGACCCGTTCTAACAGGTACCGTTCCTGACCCATTCTAACAGGTACTGTTCCTGACCCATTCTAACAGGTACTGTTCCTGACCCATTCTAACAGGTACTGTTCCTGACCCATTCTAACAGGTACTGTTCCTGACCCATTCTAACAGGTAGAACTGTTCCTGACCCATTCTAACAGGTAGAACTGTTCCAGACCCATTCTAACAGGTACTGTTCCAGACCCATTCTAACAGGTACTGTTCCTGACCCGTTCTAACAGGTACTGTTCCTGACCCATTCTAACAGGTAGAACTGTTCCTGACCCATTCTAACAGGTAGAACTGTTCCTGACCCGTTCTAACAGGTAGAACTGTTCCTGACCCATTCTAACAGGTACTGTTCCTGACCCATTCTAACAGGTACTGTTCCTGACCCGTTCTAACAGGTAGAACTGTTCCAGACCCATTCTAACAGGTACTGTTCCAGACCCATTCTAACAGGTAGAACTGTTCCTGACCCATTCTAACAGGTACTGCTCCTGACCCATTCTAACAGGTAGAACTGTTCCTGACCCATTCTAACAGGTACTGCTCCAGACCCATTCTAACAGGTAGAACTGTTCCTGACCCGTTCTAACAGGTAGAACTGTTCCTGACCCATTCTAACAGGTACTGTTCCTGACCCATTCTAACAGGTAGAACTGTTCCTGACCCATTCTAACAGGTACTGTTCCAGACCCATTCTAACAGGTACTGTTCCTGACCCGTTCTAACAGGTACTGTTCCAGACCCATTCTAACAGGTACTGTTCCAGACCCATTCTAACAGGTAGAACTGTTCCAGACCCATTCTAACAGGTAGAACTGTTCCTGACCCATTCTAACAGGTAGAACTGTTCCTGACCCATTCTAACAGGTACTGCTCCAGACCCATTCTAACAGGTAGAACTGTTCCTGACCCGTTCTAACAGGTAGAACTGTTCCTGACCCATTCTAACAGGTACTGTTCCTGACCCATTCTAACAGGTAGAACTGTTCCTGACCCATTCTAACAGGTACTGTTCCAGACCCATTCTAACAGGTACTGTTCCAGACCAATTCTAACAGGTACTGTTCCTGACCCGTTCTAACAGGTAGAACTCTTCCTGACCCATTCTAACAGGTAGAACTGTTCCAGACCCATTCTAACAGGTAGAACTGTTCCTGACCCATTCTAACAGGTAGAACTGTTCCTGACCCATTCTAACAGGTAGAACTGTTCCTGACCCGTTCTAACAGGTAGAACTGTTCCTGACCCATTCTAACAGGTACTGTTCCTGACCCATTCTAACAGGTAGAACTGTTCCTGACCCATTCTAACAGGTACTGTTCCAGACCCATTCTAACAGGTACTGTTCCTGACCCGTTCTAACAGGTACTGTTCCAGACCCATTCTAACAGGTACTGTTCCAGACCCATTCTAACAGGTAGAACTGTTCCTGACCCATTCTAACAGGTAGAACTGTTCCTGACCCATTCTAACAGGTAGAACTGTTCCTGACCCATTCTAACAGGTACTGCTCCAGACCCATTCTAACAGGTAGAACTGTTCCTGACCCGTTCTAACAGGTAGAACTGTTCCTGACCCATTCTAACAGGTACTGTTCCTGACCCATTCTAACAGGTAGAACTGTTCCTGACCCATTCTAACAGGTACTGTTCCAGACCCATTCTAACAGGTACTGTTCCAGACCCATTCTAACAGGTACTGTTCCTGACCCGTTCTAACAGGTAGAACTCTTCCTGACCCATTCTAACAGGTAGAACTGTTCCAGACCCATTCTAACAGGTAGAACTGTTCCTGACCCATTCTAACAGGTAGAACTGTTCCTGACCCATTCTAACAGGTACTGTTCCAGACCCATTCTAACAGGTAGAACTGCTCCAGACCCATTCTAACAGGTAGAACTGTTCCTGACCCATTCTAACAGGTAGAACTGTTCCGGACCCATTCTAACAGGTAGAACTGTTCCTGACCCATTCTAACAGGTAGAACTGTTCCGGACCCATTCTAACAGGTACTGTTCCGGACCCATTCTAACAGGTAGAACTGTTCCTGACCCATTCTAACAGGTACTGCTCCAGACCCATTCTAACAGGTACTGCTCCAGACCCATTCTAACAGGTAGAACTGTTCCTGACCCATTCTAACAGGTAGAACTGTTCCTGACCCATTCTAAAGGTACTGTTCCAGACCCATTCTAACAGGTACTGTTCCAGACCCATTCTAACAGGTAGAACTGTTCCTGACCCATTCTAACAGGTAGAACTGTTCCTGACCCATTCTAACAGGTACTGCTCCTGACCCATTCTAAAGGTACTGTTCCAGACCCATTCTAACAGGTAGAACTGTTCCTGACCCATTCTAACAGGTACTGTTCCAGACCCATTCTAACAGGTACTGTTCCTGACCCATTCTAACAGGTACTGCTCCAGACCCATTCTAACAGGTACTGCTCCAGACCCATTCTAACAGGTAGAACTGTTCCTGACCCATTCTAACAGGTAGAACTGTTCCTGACCCATTCTAACAGGTAGAACTGTTCCTGACCCATTCTAACAGGTAGAACTGTTCCTGACCCATTCTAACAGGTAGAACTGTTCCAGACCCATTCTAACAGGTAGAACTGTTCCTGACCCATTCTAACAGGTACTGTTCCTGACCCATTCTAACAGGTAGAACTGCTCCTGACCCATTCTAACAGGTACTGTTCCTGACCCATTCTAACAGGTAGAACTGTTCCAGACCCATTCTAACAGGTAGAACTGTTCCTGACCCATTCTAACAGGTACTGTTCCTGACCCATTCTAACAGGTAGAACTGCTCCAGACCCATTCTAACAGGTAGAACTGCTCCAGACCCATTCTAACAGGTACTGCTCCAGACCCATTCTAACAGGTACTGTTCCAGACCCATTCTAACAGGTACTGCTCCAGACCCATTCTAACAGGTACTGTTCCTGACCCATTCTAACAGGTAGAACTGTTCCTGACCCATTCTAACAGGTACTGCTCCAGACCCATTCTAACAGGTACTGCTCCAGACCCATTCTAACAGGTACTGTTCCTGACCCATTCTAACAGGTAGAACTGTTCCTGACCCATTCTAACAGGTAGAACTGTTCCAGACCCATTCTAACAGGTAGAACTGTTCCTGACCCATTCTAACAGGTAGAACTGTTCCTGACCCATTCTAACAGGTAGAACTGTTCCTGACCCATTATAACAGGTACTGTTCCAGACCCATTCTAACAGGTAGAACTGTTCCTGACCCATTCTAACAGGTACTGTTCCTGACCCATTCTAACAGGTACTGTTCCAGACCCATTCTAACAGGTAGAACTGTTCCTGACCCATTCTAACAGGTACTGTTCCTGACCCATTCTAAAGGTACTGTTCCAGACCCATTCTAACAGGTAGAACTGTTCCTGACCCATTCTAACAGGTACTGTTCCTGACCCATTCTAAAGGTACTGTTCCAGACCCATTCTAACAGGTAGAACTGTTCCTGACCCATTCTAACAGGTAGAACTGTTCCTGACCCATTCTAACAGGTAGAACTGTTCCTGACCCATTCTAACAGGTACTGTTCCTGACCCATTCTAACAGGTAGAACTGTTCCTGACCCATTCTAACAGGTAGAACTGTTCCTGACCCATTCTAACAGGTACTGTTCCAGACCCATTCTAACAGGTACTGTTCCAGACCCATTCTAACAGGTAGAACTGCTCCTGACCCATTCTAACAGGTAGAACTGTTCCTGACCCATTCTAACAGGTACTGTTCCAGACCCATTCTAACAGGTAGAACTGTTCCTGACCCATTCTAACAGGTAGAACTGTTCCTGACCCATTCTAACAGGTGCTGTTCCTGACCCATTCTAACAGGTAGAACTGTTCCTGACCCATTCTAACAGGTAGAACTGTTCCTGACCCATTCTAACAGGTACTGTTCCAGACCCATTCTAAAAGGTAGAACTGTTCCTGACCCGTTCTAACAGGTACTGCTCCAGACCCATTCTAACAGGTACTGTTCCTGACCCATTCTAACAGGTACTGCTCCAGGCCCATGGCCTCCAGACCCTCTGGGGGGCATTAAGACATGTCCATTCCCTGTAAGTTAATGGACAATAAAATACATATTCTGGTGTATTATCTTATTCCTCTCCTGTCTTCAGATTGTTCTGGGTGGTGGTGGACCTGCTAGATATCCTGGATATTCAGGCTAATCTCTGGGAACCCCTGAAGAAAGGTCTCCCTCTCTGGGCTGAAGGACTGATGTTCTTCTACTGTTACATCCTGTTGCTAGTCCTTCCCTGTGTGTCTCTTAGTGAGATCTCCATGCAGGGCATCAATATAGTCCCACACAAGATGATGCTATATCCCATCCTCAGCCTGGTAACCATTAATATTCTAACCCTATTGATCAGAGGCTGTAACCTGCTGCTGTACAGGGATGCCCGGGTCAGTGGGATCCTGATAGGGAAGAATGTGTTAGCCATCATACTAAAGACCTGTAGCTTTGTCCAGTACAGGAGGCAGTTACAGAACACTCCTCCTGCGTTCGGGTTGGAACTACAGACGAACTCTGTACCACATCACCATGGTAACCATGGTCTTGGACGACCTGTTTCTATAGTGATGACCCCTCACCCGCAGGTGGTCCTCCCAGATCAGACAGCTCTGCCCCTCCCTCTGCCAGAGGTCACAACTACATGTCAACATACAGGACTCTGAGACCAGGATCATACCACGTATGTATGACCCTCAGGATATTATACACAGGACACACAGGAACATATGACCAGAATCTACATGGATGTACCAATATAATGTATGACCGTCAGGACTCTACAGGGCAATGGTCAACATCATGTGAACAACCTTGTATGGATATTATCAATGATCAAAGGGACACAGGGGATCCTTATGCAGTATAAAGCAGAGACATGGAGAATGTTTATGAAGAACCTTGATAGAAAGGAGATTATAAAACCAATCTGAATGTTTTTTATCATTGGAACACAGTGGACTCTTCTTAAGGAGAATATAGTGACATGGACAACACCTTCTGGTGTAAAGAACAGTCTCTCTAGACTCTGTTAATTAAATACTTTCCCTTGTGGATTCAAATAACATAATCTCTAGAATATGTTAATTAAATACTTTCCGCTGTGGATTCAAATAACAGTATCTCTACTCTGTTGAAGACAGCACCTTCTGGTGTAAATAACAGTTTCTCTACTCTGTTAAAGACAGCACCTTCTGGTGTAAATAACAGTTTCTCTACTCTGTTAAAGACAGCACCTTCTGGTGTAAAGAACAGTTTCTCTACTCTGTTAAAGACAGCACCTTCTGGTGTAAAGAACAGTTTCTCTACTCTGTTAAAGACAGCACCTTCTGGTGTAAAGAACAGTTTCTCTACTCTGTTAAAGACAGCACCTTCTGGTGTAAAGAACAGTATCTCTACTCTGTTAAAGACAGCACCTTCTGGTGTAAATAACAGTATCTCTACTCTGTTAAAGACAGCACCTTCTAGTGTAAAGAACAGTACCTCTACTCTGTTAAAGACAGCACCTTCTGGTGTAAAGAACAGTTTCTCTACTCTGTTAAAGACAGCACCTTCTGGTGTAAAGAACAGTATCTCTACTCTGTTAAAGACAGCACCTTCTGGTGTAAAGAACAGTTTCTCTACTCTGTTAAAGACAGCACCTTCTGGTGTAAAGAACAGTATCTCTACTCTGTTAAAGACAGCACCTTCTGGTGTAAAGAACAGTATCTCTACTCTGTTAAAGACAGCACCTTCTGGTGTAAAGAACAGTTTCTCTACTCTGTTAAAGACAGCACCTTCTGGTGTAAAGAACAGTATCTCTACTCTGTTAAAGACAGCACCTTCTGGTGTAAAGAACAGTATCTCTACTCTGTTAAAGACAGCACCTTCTGGTGTAAAGAACAGTATCTCTACTCTGTTAAAGACAGCACCTTCTGGTGTAAAGAACAGTATCTCTACTCTGTTAAAGACAGCACCTTCTGGTGTAAAGAACAGTTTCTCTACTCTGTTAAAGACAGCACCTTCTGGTGTAAAGAACAGTATCTCTACTCTGTTAAAGACAGCACCTTCTGGTGTAAAGAACAGTTTCTCTACTCTGTTAAAAACAGCACCTTCTGGTGTAAAGAACAGTATCTCTACTCTGTTAAAGACAGCACCTTCTGGTGTAAAGAACAGTATCTCTACTCTGTTAAAGACAGCACCTTCTGGTGTAAAGAACAGTATCTCTACTCTGTTAAAGACAACACCTTCTGGTGTAAAGAACATCATCTCTACTCCATAACAAGTATCCATAACACCATTCATCTACAACTGATGCCCCTAACACTGTTGTAACACTGTCCTGCCTGGTTGTACTGAGTATAATGAATGGGGGATGGAGAGGAAAAGGAAAATATGAAATTAGAGGGAGAAAGCAAATGATGTATTGGAGATTACAGCTACTGTCATTATAAACAGTGATGTATTGGAGATTACAGCTACTGCCATTATGAACAGTGATGTATTGGAGATTACAGCTACTGCCATTATGAACAGTGATGTATTGGAGATTACAGCTACTGCCATTATGAACAGTGATGTATTGGAGATTACAGCTACTGCCATTGTGAACAGTGTTTGATGATTGCAAAGGTAGAATATTAATTAACTGCACACTGTATATCTACAGAGCATAGCACACATATATACAGAGAATAGATAGAACACATATATACAGAGAATAGATTAAAGCCACAGGGGCAGTACTACAGATAATTGAATTATCTTCCCAAACACAGCCCTGTAATGTAACTGTACTGTTGGGTTCTGTTCACAACACAGAGATAATTATTGGGTATACTGACACTACAACCAGACGTACACAGTGGTTTCTCTCTCTCTCTTTCTTTCAATGTTGTTTCCATGTAATTTCAACCAACAAATTAAATGTGATGATGTTGACTCAACGTGGAAAACTGATTGGATTTGAAAAAAGTCATCAATGTAAGGTAATTAAATATTTTTTTAACCCAAATGTTGACCTAAATCCAATGACATGGTGAAATGTGTTGTTGATTTCATGTTGAACTCACGTTAGTTGACAACTCAACCAAATGTAAACCAAAACTGGACGTTTAACGGACGTGTGTGACCAGTGGGTCTGTACATGGTCAAGGATTTCCATAATTTTGGGTCAGTCACAGTGGTCAGGTATTCTACCGCTGTTCTCTCTGTTCAGGGCCAGATTACATTCCAGTTTACTATTAGTTGTTAATTCTTTCCAGTGTGTCAAATAGTTCTCTTTCCGTTTTCTCATGATTTGGTATGGTCTAATTGTGTTGCTGTCCTGGGGCTCTGTGGGGTCTGTTTGTGTTTGTGAACAGAGCCCCAGGACCAGCTTGCTTAGGGGACTCTTCTCCAAGTTCATCTCTCTGTAGGTGATGGCTTTGTTATGGAAGGTTTGGTAATCGCTTCCTTTTAGGTGGTTGTAGAATTTAACGGCTCTTTTCTGGATTTTGATAATTAGCGGGTATCATCCTAATTCTGCTCTGCATGCAATGTTTGGGGTTTTACGTTATAAAAGGAGTATGTCTGTACAGAATTCTGTGTTTGTCCCATTTTGTGAATTCTTGGTTGGTGAGTGGACCCCAGACCTCACAACCATAGAGGGCAATGGGTTCTATAACTGATTAAAGTGTTTTTTGCCAGATCCTAATTGGGATGTCGAGTTTTCAAATCAAATTGTATTGGTCACATGCGGCGAATACAACAGGTGTAGACTTTACAGTGATATGCTTACTTACTTACAGACTCCCGAGTGGCGCAGTGGTCTAAGGCACTGCATCAGAGTGCTAGCTGTGCCACTAGAGATCCTGGTTCGAATCCAGGCTCTGTCGTAGCCGGCCGCGACCCGGAGACCCATGGGGCGGCGCGCAATTGGCCCAGCGTCGTCCGGGCTAGGGGAGGGAATGGCCGGCAGGGATGTAGCTCAGTAGATAGAGCATGGCGTTTGCAACGCCTTGGTTGTGGGTTCGTTTCCCACAGGGGGTATGAAAAAAATATATATATATATATGTATGCACTAACTGTAAGTCGCTCTGGATAAGAGCGTCTGCTAAATGACTAAAATGTAAATGTAGGAGCCTTTAACCAACAGTGCAGAGTTAAAAAGTAAGACAAATATTAGCTAAAGGAAATAGTAACTCAATAAAAACAATAATGAGGCTATATACAGGAAGTACCAGTACTGAGTCAATGTGCAGGGATACCAGGTAAGTAACATTGGCTATATACAGGAGTACCAGTACTGAGTCAATTGGCGAGGGGTACCCAGGTAATACAGCATGGCGTATATACAAGGAGTACCAGTACTCGAGTCACAATTTGCAGGTAGTACCCAGGTAATAACAGTGCTCTATACAAGGGGTACCAGTACTGAGATCCCATGTGGCAGGGGTACCAGGTAATAACATAGGCTATATACGAAGGGGTACTCAGTATACTGAGTCCATGTTGCAGGGGTACCACGAGGTAATTAACATTGGCATATATACAGGAAGGACCATACTGATCAATGGGGGCGGGGTACCCGGGAGTTTAAATTGGGTATATACAGGGAAATAAAACCAATTTCTGAGTCCCAAAATGCAGAGTACCCCCAGGGAATAAAAATGGGTATTAAAAAGGGGGACCAGTACTGATTCCCCTGGGCAGGGGGACCCGGTAATAACATGGCTTTACAGGAAGTACCCAGTACTGAGTCAATGTTTCAGGAGTAACAGGTAGTAAAATTTGGGTATATCCGGAAGTACCCCAAAATGAGTTTAATGTGCAGGTAACCAGGTAGTAACTTGGGTATAAGGGGTACCATCCCGAGGGCCCTGTTCAGGGGTAAAACCCGTAATAACCCTGGCTATATACAGGAATACCAGGACTGAGTCCAAAGTTTCAGGGGTACCAGGGAAAAACATGGATAATTAAAAGGAAAGACCGTTTCTGAGTCCAAAGTGCAGGGGTCCCGGTAATTACATGGCTAAATACAAAGGGGGACCATAAATGAATCCCAAAAGTGCAGGGGGCCAGGTAATTAAAAAAAAAATGGGGGTATATAAGGAAAAATTTCCCTTAAATGGGGTCCCAAAGTCAGGGGTACCTTTTTTTTAGGTTTAAAAACAGACTATATACAGGGAATTTCCAAATGAGTCAAAGTGCAAGGGGGACCCTTTGTAAAAAGGCTAAACAGGAATACCAGTAAATGATCATGTGCAGGAGGGACCAGGTATTTAAAATGGCCCAATACAGGGAAATAAAAAGTACTGGTTCCCTGTCAGGGGGTACCAGGGAATAAAATGGCTAATACAAAAAGGGGGAAACCCTATGAGTCCAAGTGCAGGGGTACCAGGTAAAAACCTTTTTATATATAGGGAATTTCCCGTTAAAAAAACTGAAATTTTAATTGCAGGGGGACCAGGGAATAACTGGCATATACAAGGAGAAAACCCTACTGATCAAAGTGCAGGGGTACCAGGTAATAACATGGCTTATACAGGAAGTACCATTTCTGGGGTCAAAGTGCAGGGGACCAAAGGGAGTTTTAGGTAATAAAGAGGCCCTATTCAAGGAGTACCCCCTACTGATCAAAGTGCGGGTCCCCGGGGTAAATTGCAATACAAGGGGGACCAGTACTGATCCAAAGTTCGGGGGACCGGGAGTTGAGGGAATAACGAGGGTATATCAAAAGTCCATTTCTGAGTCCCTGTGCCGGGGTACCAGGTAGTTGGGAAAACGAGGGTATATAAAAGGGGTACCCGTACCCAGTCAATGTTTCAAGGGGGGACCAGGTAATAACATGGGGTATATACAAAGGGGGCCAGTAAAGGGGTCAATGTCAGGGGTTTCAGGTTAATAACCCTGGCAAAATACAGGGAAATACCAGTACGAGTTTAATTTCAAGGGGACCCCCGGTAGTTGAGGTAATAAAAGATGCTTATTTAGGGTAACCTACTGAGTAATTTGGGAGGGGGGACCAAAGTAACATTGCTATATACAAGGGGG